TTTTATAAATTCTAGATATAAGTCCCTTATCTGACATGTCATTACCAAACACTTTTTCCCAGTCTGTGGCTTCCCTTTTTACCCTGTTGGAGAAATTTTTGGATGTGCATAGGGATTTGATTCTTAGAAGGTCCCATTCATCTATTTTATCTTCTCCTGGTTGTAGATCATGAGCAGTTTTAAACACCTCCCCATCCTGCCTATTTTTCTTCTCATACTTTTAATATTCATATGTTAGTTGTTATTGTTAGAAATAAGCCATATTAGATTTTTCAAGTATTGGTTAAAGTTTCAGATTTCTGTTGTTATCTGGATGAAAGATATTAATCTATTGTAGTTTTGATAGCCACTGAAAAACAGGTACTTAATTTTGATGATGTTCTAACATAATAATGGAAAAAAGGACCTTAATTTTTATTTTTTTGCATGAATATGGACTATACTTAGTAACTCCCACAGAACAGAGTATGCAAAGGGAGGAGTAATAACTTCATAATGAAGACGTGGCAAATATCATCTTAACCAAATGTTCAAGTTTACTACTGACACTAGTCATAGATAAAAGACAGCCTCAGACATGTTTTAACAAGAAGGGCATTTCACCTCTGTATATTATTCCCTTAAACCTATAACCCTAGCCTCATCATGAGGAAACATCAAACTAAAATTGTAAGACATTTTACAGACTGTCTAATATTCTCAAAATTTTAAAGATCAGAAGAAAGACTGAGAAACCATTACCAGAGAACACACTACACAGACATAATAACTAAATGCAATGTGATATGGATTGGGTCTTGCTTAGGAAAAAAAGTTGATGAATGGCAATAACTGGTGAAATTCACGTCTAGTTTTGAGCAATAGGGGCATTATAGACAATGTTAGATGGCTCTTAGCTGAAAGCAGAGCATACCAGAGGAATATTTAGCTGCGTTTCATTGATTGTGCAAAGACATTTGACTGTGTGGATCATAACAAACTGTGGCTAACCTTGAGGAAAACAGGAATCTCAGAACACTTGATTGTGCTCATGCAAAACCTAGATTTAAATCAGGAGGCAGCTGTCAAAACAGAGCAAAGAAACACTGCATGGTTCAAAATCAAGAAAGGTATATGCTAGGGTTGCATCCTATCTCCATACCTTTTTAATCTATATGGGGAACAGATCATCCAGGAGGCTGGGCTCTATGAGGAGGAGTGTTGCATCAGAATTGGAGGAAGACTCATCAACAAACTGCATTATGCAGATGACAGAATCTTGTTTATTGAAACCAAGGAGGACCTGAGACATTTGCTGCAGAAGGCCAAGACTGCAGCCTTCAGTTTGGATTGATGCTCAACAACCAGAAAACAAAAATTCTCACCACTGGACTGATTGGTAGCATCAGGATAGAAGGAGAAGAGATTGAGATTGTTAACAGCTTCAACTTGCTTGGCTGTACAATCAGCACTCTTGGTACTAGCATCCAGGAAATCAAAAGATGTATTGCATTGGGAAAATCTGTTGCCAGGGCCCTCTCCAGAGAACTTAAGAGCAACAGTGTCAATTTAGAGATTAAAGTGTGCCTGATCCAGGCCATGGTCTTTACAATTACTTGCTATGTGTCAGAGAGATGACTCAAGATAATAGAAGAATCAATGACTTTGAATTGTGGTGCTGGAGAGGCATATTGAATATACCATGGGCTGGTAAGAATACAAACAAGTCTGTCCTGGAGAGAGTGAAGCTAGGCTGCTCCTTGGAAACAAGGATTTTTGAAGCTCTGTTTGACTTTGGACATGTTGCAAGGAGGGACCAGTTCTTGTAGAGGAACATCATGCTTGGAAGGGTGAGAGAACAGTGCAAAAGAGGAAGGCCCTGGATGAGATGGATTGATTTAGTGACTTGGATAAGAGGGGGGTAGGTGTGTCAAAGATAATGAAATTGGCTTAGGATAGAGCAGGGTTCAGAGCTGTTGTCCATAGGGTCACTATTAGTTGGAGTTGACTCAATGGGACAACAACCTGGTTATGTAAGATGTTAACATTAAAATAAATAGTTGGGTGAAATACACATAACTTTCTGTACTCTTTTTATATCTTTTCTGTAAATCTAAAATTATTCCAAGAGAAGGTTTTTGTTTTAAGAGAATAATGAAAGAAATGACATAGAAAGGGCTAAATGATTTGAAATTTAAGACATAAAAAACAAATGAAGCAGTAACACTGAAAAAAACTTTACATGATGATTACTAATGATTAGTAATATAGAATATACTTTTATAAGTAACACAGAATGTGCTTTTAGAAGACAGTAAGAATACACTATTAACATTTTATGCAAGTAATACATCTCTTCTATATTAGTGTGTCAGATATTATGAGGATGGCACAGGATAGGGCAGGGTTCATATTGGCTGCTCATAATATCGCTGTGAGTCATTCTGTACTCAACAACACCTAACAACAAGAACAACATAATTGCCAATTGCTTCCTGTTCCCAGCATGTATTTTTGTAAATATGCTGTGTTAATTTTTATTTCCAGTCATTTTTTAATAATCTTCCACAAGATTTTACTTGCATGTGATATTAATAACATTGTCTTATAATTTCCGTATTCTATTGGATCATTCTTTTAGGAATGAGGACAAATATGATGGTAGGATATCAGTTTAAAGACTAAGGTGCGTCTTATCCAAACCTTGGTCTTTTCAATTGCTTCCTACCCATCTGAAAGTTGGAAAAGGAATAAAGATGATAGAAAAGAGCTGATGCCTTTAAATTGTGCTGTTGGAGAAGAATACTGGCTGTCAGAAGAATAAAGAAGTCTATCTTGGAGAAAGTGCAACAAGGGTGTTTCTTAGAGGCAAAGTTAGTAAAACTTCATTTTATATACTGTAGTCAAGCTGTCAGGAGGGCCAGTCCTTGGGAAAAAAGACACCATACTGGTAAAGGTGGAGGTCAGAGAAAGAGGAAGACCCTCCAGAAGATGGATTGACACAGGGACTGTAATAAAGTTCTGGAGCAGAGCAGGGATATTAGGATAGGGCGGGTTATGGCAAGATTCAGCTCTGTTGTACATAGCATTGCTATGAGTTGTATTCAGCTTCATGACACCTGACAACAAATGAACTATTGGCATTTTTGAAAATGCTCCCCACAGGAAGGAAACAACTGACAAAAATGTTGATGGTGTGGGTTGTTTGTGCAAAAATACTATTTCCTCACTGGAAAGTAATTATTGATTGCAATTCATGGAAGAAATGCAGTAGTCTATAAATAAGAAACCATTTAAGTTTCTCTAGTAATTAAAGTATTTCCCATCAAAGTAGTATTGGGAACATTTCCTAGTAAATTTGCAGAAGTTGAAAAATGATTCAGTTCTAAGGAAGGTAAATGGATGAGTTATAGATTGGTGCACCTTTTCTGGGAAGTAGTTTGCTAATGCAGGTAGAAGTTTTCACATTATGCATATGATTAGTGCTGTGATCACACGCATGAGATGTTAATAAGGAAGGAATCAGATATCTAAACAACTTTTCTAATAAGACTTTCTACATAGGATTATTGAGAGTGGATCATTTTAGTCTCAAACACGGAGAGATTTATTTAACAATTGATGGCATACTTTTGGAATAGAATATAACAGAGCTATTATGAATTGTGATGTTAGAAAAGCAGTGAAAGGAATATAAAATTCACATATGTCCTCTGATCCCACACATTATATTCATGTGTAGAAAATTGCCTTTAAAAAAGATGACGAGCAAATAGACCATCATGTGAAAATTCGTTGCTTGTTTTTGGGTAGTGAGAAATTATTTTCTTACACTTCTCTGCATTTTCAAAATTGTCTAGTGGAATTGCATGTAACTTTCATAGTGGGCAGAAAAAATAGCATTGTGGTTGATGAATTTCTTTTATTTTTATTGTTGATTTAATTGAGAAGATGTTTAAGCTACGTTTTGTGCTATTATAATTCATAATATTTCTTCTTTCCACCAGGAAGCTTCTCAGGGTCCTCCCACTGCCAAGTGAAAATTGGGCTGCTCTAGTTGGAGAATGGTGTTGCCATCCGGACCCCTTTGCTAATAAGCCACTTCACCCACAAGAGAATGATTGTTTTACTGGAGATACGTTTTTCCTGGTGAATTTAAGAAGTGATGAGCAGCAGCTGAAACCTGAACTAAGCCAAATGGAGATGAAGTCCCTTTCTTCTGAGAATCATTCTGAATTGGTAAAATACCTTTTCAAAATAAACGCTTGTTTTGAAATTGGCTTAGGTGCTACTTCCTCCAGTCTTTTTTTTTTTTTAAAGTTTAGGGTTAACTGCACAGACCATTGTAAAGCCTGAGATGCATAATTTTTGCGTGTTCTCCATGCTCTGCTTTCTTGCTATAGGAAGAACATATGATCTTAAGCTCAAAGTTCTGGAGAGATGGAGAAATAAGGGAAAGAAGACTTCTTCATGAAGTGGGAGTGATCCTATTTTGTCAACCAAAATGCCCTACTTTCTCACTTTTATAGCAAAATTCTGCAATCCAGATACATTTTAGCATCACAAATCCTAATCACACCTATATTACTGCTGTCGAGTTGTCTGACTCACAGAAACCCTATAGGACCGAGTATAATTGCCCCAAAGGATTTCCAACACTGTAAATCTTTACAGAAGCAAATTTGCTGTGAATAATTCAAACCACTGACGTTTAAGGCAGCAGACCAGTGTTAATCCACTGAGCCATCAGGGCTTTAAGTTTAAAAGTGATACTTTGTGTACAATTAAAAACTAAACCAAGTCCATTGTTGTTCATTCAATTCCAACTTATAGTGATCCTAAAGGATGAAGTAGAACTGCCCCATAGAATTTTCAAAGCTATGTGAGTCTTTTTGGAAGCAAATTAGCATGTCTTTTTATAGAGCGACTGGTGGGTTTGAATTACTTACCTCTGGTTAGCAGATGAATGGTTAACCATTCCACTACCAGAACTTTTTACTATATCACTAAGCATAGGTATGTACTGTGTCTACTCATAGTCCAGGTTTCTGTTTATGTTGTAAAACCAGGTGCTGTTGTAGAAGAAAATGGAGATGCCCAAGTTTCTGAATTAAGCTCCTGCTATAGGCTCTACATTCGTCCTTGATAGTGTAAAGTCAAATGGTTCTTGCTATATCAGTTGCTTTAGGGAAAATGCGATTTTCTCAGACTGCAAAGAACAAGCAATTTTCCTTATTTTAAAAGACAGTGAATTTACATTGACTTGGCCCTTGTAGGCATGTGAAGCCAAGTCAATAGAGATGTGATTTTAAAAAGAAAGACTCTTAATTTTATTTTATTTTAGTTTTTTTATTATTAAATTTTATTAGTTTTAATGAACATTTACAGAGATTTTGGGTTTTCATTCATTCATTGTTGCACTGTTAAGAAAGACTCTTAATTTTAATACCTTATTAGTCATTGAAATAAAAACAGTATTGTTTTAAAATTTTATTCAGATATCACTTAATGTTTGTAGTAAAATGGAGCTATCAGCAGAAATAATATAGCAGTTGATCATCTTCATCTGCAGGTAGAACTGTTTTCTGTTTTGAAGACTCTTCAGTGATTTCTTCACACATTGTTGTTAGGTGCCATTGATGTCAACTCTGATGGTAGTGACCGTGTGAACAACAACTCTGAACTTTGCCCTGTCTTGTGCCATGCTCACGGTCTCTGATGTACACAAGTCCATTGTTGCAGTTACCATGTCAGTCCATCTGTTGAGAGCCTTCCTCTCTCTCTGACTCTCCCCCTTTCCTAGCATGACACCTTTCTCCAAGGAGAGACCGACCCTTCCTGACATCGTGCCCGTAGTACATGAGACGAAGTAGCATCATTTTGCCTCTAAAGAGAATCCTCGTTGTGGATCCTCTATCAAAATAAAAATAAATACTTTCACCTAAATATGATTTGCCTTAGTTTATGGTATTTAAAAATTGATTTTAGAGTTAGTGGTAAGAAGGTAATATTAACTTGTGATAATTATAATATCATTTTATTAATGTTAATAAACATTTATATGCTTCAACTTTATTTTAGGGAGTGGTGGTGGCCTAGTGATAAGAAACTGCAACTGCAATCCCAAAGTCATGCAGTTCTAATCCACCCACAGCTCCATGGGAGAAAGATGGACAATTTCCTCCTGTGCTATTGAACTGCCTCTGAAAACCTGCAGGAGGGTCCGCTATGATTAATTTCTGACACACTGGTACACAATAACATATTTTATTTTCTGTGTTTTAACTTTCATATTTGGGATTTTATGTGTTTTAACTTTTTGTGTGTGTTTTAACTTTCAAATTTGCGATCAGCATATACATTTTAAAGATATTTAGTGTGATTTGCAGAGAGTGGGAAAAAATTCAAGAGAAACTATCAGTTTTCTATTTAGATAAAGTGTACACTCTCTGCTGAGATTTTTTCCTTGAATTTGTACCTTTATCAGTTATATGACACCATTTGGCAAGAATTTTTCTTAATTGTAAACAACTCTGCTATGTGTTAAAGGAGGACATTATAGTTTTCAGTATCAGGGATACTGTGGGAAATTATTAACGTGATAAGCTGCTGTTGACAAGATTGTTTTCAAGTTAGCCTAGATAGAAGTTTCACTTTAATTGCATATTGTAGCAGTTGAAAGAGTAGGCCTGTTACCAAAATAGTAACATAAATTTGGAGGGACATGCTTGAACAGTATTCTCAAGGCTCCTGTGGGAAAAAACCTGCTCTGTGTTATTGAAAACCTATTTCTCATATAACCAAGTCTAGCCATCTAACAGGGTTTTGAAATGTCACATGGTGACACAACATCCTAATGGTATCTCTTGGGAAACATTTTTTTAGTGAGACAATATCAAGGGTCCTTAGAAATTGAAACAACACAAAGGAAAATAAAAACGGGGAAGGGAAGCTAATCTCCTTCCCTGAGCAGCTGGGCCATCTCTCACATGCACTGATTTAATGAATCCATAACAGTTTGCTTGTACAGTTCCTACTCTTTGTTATACAGCTTGCTTTGTGATTTTCTTTATGCGTAGGTCAGCAAAAGCACAATAGAAAGTTGTTTCTCTTTAAATAAATTTAAGGGTTATGTAATATCTTAATAAAAAACTTAATTTTAAAAAATAGCACAAAGTCTAACACTGGTTTCTTCCCAGGCCCCTTAGTGTGTTCACTGTCTTAGCTGTACCTCTGCTTTCCCTCATTTTTACATTCGTTTGTCATATTTTTGGTACTAATTTTGATTCCTACTAACATAATAAAATTTGTGCATTTTGTAATGGATGGTAAAAAGGCTGCTTCAGCCTCTTATATGACGTGTAAAATTATTCTAGACTTAGGAGGTGCAGTTACAATGTGTCATTACTCCTTTTATTTATTTTTTAAAAGAATTAACAAAAATTGAACTTTATTATATCACCACAAGCAAGTATAACTAACAGTTTTGCCTTTTTCCTTCCTGGGAATATCAATAGTTTATTGATTATGGCTCCTTTTCTGTTTTGTTAAATGTTAGCTTGTTTCCAAGAAATGAATTATTGAATCTGTAAACATTCACAAATATAAAAAAATAACTTACTGTGAACTTGAACATACCAATCATCCTGATTCATCAGTTATGCTTTAACTTTTCTGAAATGCTTCAAAGTTAATTCCAGATACTATACTATTTCATCCTATATGATATAATATGTAATCCTAAAAATATGTACTTTTTCCTACATAACTACAGTTCCATTATCTCACACAAAAAAGAAAAGATTATTTTTTTGATGAATTAACTACTCTGTAAACAGATTTTGTTAGTTGTCTCAAAAGAGTTTCTACTGGACGTCTATTTGAATCAATAACTACACATTTGATTATATGAAGTAATTTATTCTTTATTGATCAGATTTTAAAACTCTGGTTACTCAGGTCTGGTTAGGATAGAATTTTATTTAGAAAATAAACAAGGAAACAGAACACACATTTCTTGTCTCATTGAAAGAAAAAGCTAAATGTGCAGCAAGAACAGTTATAAATTATGCATATAACAGAGTGCCTGACAAAAGCTTTTCTGCTTCAAATGTGAATTTTTTTTTCTTCTGAACCACTGGTACTCTAATATTACAGCATGATGCCTGACCTAGGCAAGGTCTTTGCAATTACTTGCTGTGCATCAGAGAGCTGGACAATGATTAAAGGTTGACAGAAGAATAATTGATGCCTTTGAGTTGTGGTGCTGGAGAAGAGTCTTGAACATGGACAACTAAGATAACAAGTCTGTCTTGGAGAGAGTGAAACCAGGTTTCTCCTTGGAGGCTAGGATTTTGAAGCTCCGTCTCACATACTTGGGCACATGGCCAGGAGGGACCAGTCCTTGGAAAAGAACATCATGCTTGGAAGCCTGGAGGGACAGCACAGGAGAGGAAGAACTCAGATATGATTGATTTAGTAACTAGGGGTGTGAGGATGCATGTGTCAGAGTCAATGAGACTGACTCAGGACAGAGCAGGCTTCAGAGCTGCTGTATATAGATAGGGTCGGTATGAGTTGCAGGCGACTTGAGGGCACATAACAACAATAGTGTATAGTAAAGGCCTTAATTTTTGGTAAGATGTGATAGGATGGTCAGATTTAATTTGCACAAAATGGATAATTTTCAAAGTGTTTTTGTAGGTTTTAGTGTAAGGAAACATGAACATATAGAAATTATTTTTTTTACATTTGAATATACTGGTTTCTAAGTTGTATTCCTCCTGTTAACCTTGCCTGGACCCTGAACACATTGTTCCCTGTCTTGTTCTCTGAGTCTGTTGATTACCTTTGGTAGGAATGACCCCATCTAGTTAATGCTCTGTTTTGGCCAGCCGGTGAGAGGCACTGGATAGAAGATGTCAGTGGAAAGGCCAGAGGTGACAGTCTGTGATGCCTCCTTCAGGAGTGTATGCTTGAATAGATTTTTGAGCCAGATTTGATCTGAGCTACGAAGTTTGTATTGTGTTTTTATATCTTTAGCCGAGGTTTTGATAGAAAGACTCGAGAATCCTCTTCAATTATTTCAAGAAAGGGTCTTCCAGCTGCCTGCAGCTAGACAAGAGAAAAAAAAAGGGATAAGAGATTATTACCAAAGATTTTTTTAGTGTATGAAGTGATTCAGCTTGGAATTCCTTTATACAGGGAGGAGCCTTAGGGCACTTATAAAGTTTTACTGCTAGTGTGAGAATGAGCCCAAGCAAAAGGATAAGTCACAGAGAAATACCCCAATATTATTTGTGCAATTGCTTTTGACTTGTTTTGACCTCAAACTACAGAAATACATTTTCATCAAGATCCTATCATATGCACACACCCTATCTCAAGCCACTTTCTTCCAGCAGTGTTGAGCCTGTGTTGGAAGCACTGTGATTTTTTCTATTACATTACATTTTTTAAAAAAAATTCAGTCTGTTACTCACTATGTTGATTCCATGACCCACTTATGTAGTTTGGGGGAATACTTGGCATTGTACTTTAGAGGGACCAGTTTTAGCATCTGAAGAATAATTCAAATATGAACTCTTTTTGCTAATAATGGCCCATGGATGTAAGTGTTCTTGTTAGCAACTTTTTAGGAAGTCACTATTAATGTCAAGTGAAATATAATTGTACAAAACAGTTAAGACTTTTCTCTTATATAAATTAATTTCTTAGAAAATAAAAGTGTACCTTAGACCAGTGCTCTCTATTCTTTGCTTTCCTGAAAGGAATAATCTCAAAGAGCTACAACTGCAGAAGTAATCCTTCTCCCTGCCCAGTTTTATATGCCTTCTGCCATGTGTAATTTATCTGTTTGCAAGAAATGTTTATGACATTAACAAGAATTATTATTTGATGTGAAAGGACATTGTCTTATTTGTATAATGTTTAGATCACTGCTAGCTATTTTAATCTGGCCCCAGATACTAAACTCAGATATAGAATATTTTTAATTTTAAGAATATAATTTGCAGTTATACATTACTTAGTTGAAAATAGGATTATTTGTATAAATTAAATATTTTTACTGTACTAATTGTGGATGGTTATGAGTTCTAGGTTATTTTTCCATAAATTAAACTGGTCTACATCTTGCTTGGATCCACGGTTAAAACACCCTTGGTCCCATCAATCAGGAAATAAAGAGAGACATTGCACTGGGAAAATCTTCAGTTAGGGACCTTTCCGAATTAATGAGGAGTAGTGATATCAGTTTGAGGACTAAGATGCATCTGATTCAGGCCATAATCTTTCTGATTACTAGCTATGCCTCCGAGACCTGCACAATGAATAAGAATGACAGAAGAAGAAATGACACCTTTGAGCTGAGGTGTTGAAGAAGAGCATTAAACATCCCATGGATGGCCAAGAGAACAAAAGATATGTCTTGGAGGTGGTGCAACTAGAGTGCTCTTTGGTGGCAGGGAAGATGAGGCTTTGCCTCATATACTTTGGACATGTTGCTAGGATGTGCTATTCCTTGGAGAGGGACATGATACTGGGGAAGGGTGGAGGGTTGGCGAAGGAGAGGAAGACCCTCAACTAGGTGGACTGATGAGATCACTTCTGCAATGGGCTTTTGTCTATCAGGAAGTGTGAGGATGGTGCAGGACAGGACAGGGTTCACATTTTTTTGTTCATAGGGTTGCTATGAGTCATGCTCAATTCAATGGCACCTAACAACAACAACAACAACAACAACAACAACAAACTGGTCTAAGAGTCAATAGGAAACTTTGCTGGCCTAGTGGTAAGAAGCTGTGCTGTGATTCCCAAAGGCACAGAGTTCAAATCCACCAGCTGCTCTGCTGGAGAAGTTTGAACAGTCTCCTCCCATGTAATTGACTGCATCTGATAATCTACTGGAGGAACAGCTATGGGTTCTGACTTGATGGCAAACAAGAAGAAGGAGTGTGAATAACTTTAGTTCTACACCTCTATTTTCTATACATGAATTAGGAAAAGTTACCCACCTTCTCATTGATTGCATACCATCTGCCTACTCTCAGTTATAAGGATATTTGGAAGTGCTTTTGTAAATGTAAGGTATTTATTGTTTTGATTAATTTGTCAATGTTTGCTCATCAAGAATTGTTTTTGTTTGAAAAAATTCAGTACATCATTCTGTTTTTAGATTTAAAAAATCTTCTCTATGCAGGTGAATTATGCATAGGAACTAGTGTATTCCCAGTGTTGAGTAGAGGGCAGAATAAAATGTAAAGTTCAATGTATACTCTAGAGACTGTGTTAAAATTGTATATTCCTTTTAAGAAAAGCTGAATGACATTTAAATGACATTTTTCTGTTCTGCAGAAACCAAAGGCAAATACCAAAGTAATTTGTAAGCGTTGCAAGATAATGCTGGGGGAGAGCATATCGTCAGGTAAGACTCAACCAAAACCCACAATTGTTACCTTCTACCTGAAACAGATCAAACCAGCAGTAACCAAGAAAACTGCAAGAGTTCCTAGTACGCACACTTGAAATATACCTGACAGTTTTACATATTGTTCTGTGCCATCAAGTTGGAGCCAATTGGTAGCTGACCCTCAGGTGGGTTTTCAGAGACTTTACGTCTGTCGTACAGGAAGACGTTACTTGTCTTTCTCTCACAAAGAAACCAGTGGATTTGAACCACCTGCCTTTGGGTTGCCTGTGTAACTCCTTACCCATTTGATCACCAGAGCTTTCTTGTGTTATACAGCAAATTTTCAAAATACAAATTAACTAACCGATTATCTTCTAATAAACCAAGAAACTTCTATTTTAGACTTTATAAGTGTGTAGAATTGAGTCTTAAGCATTAAGCAATTGAGTCATTTTTCAGTTCTTCATGTCTTTTTGTACAAATAAAGCAGTAGTATAAAGTATGTGCTTGGATCTCTTTAATAGAAGATTGGAGCCTTTTTCTTTATTTTTTAAAATTATGAAATGAAGTTAAGTAGTTTACGTCCATAAGTCATACTTTCTTTTTTGTTTATGCAGCACTTTATTTCATTGTACTAGAGTTTTAATTTTTCACTTCCCTCTCTTTCTCTTCTTTTTCCTGGTAACCCCCAAGATTGAGTCTACTTCTGTGTAAACTGTCTATGGCTTCTAGTGTTAGTGGTCGGGTGACCGAATTCATAAGGACTAGTGGTACTAACCTATAGGTTGCACCTCTCTTGTGGTTTGAATCCACCAGCGGCTCCATGGAAGAAAGATGGGCAGTATTCTCCCGAGTGATTACAGCCTTGGATGCCTCTGAAGGGTAAACTGTGACTTGGTTCTGACTAGACAGCAATTAGGGAGAGAGTTCAATCTTATACCATGATTTTCCTTTTGTGACTGGTTTTTGTCTTTCAGCATCATTTTTTTCTAGTTTCATCCACGTTGTGCAGTGTTTAACAAACCCTTGATCATGTTTTGTAATGTGTATGACTCCATTGTATCACAGTTTGTGTTCATGTACCACATTTTCTTTACCTATTTATCAGTTGATGGGGATGTGATCGTTCTAATGCGAAACTTATACTTGGACCAGGAGGCAGTCGTCAGACAGAACAGAGCAAGGGAACACTGCATGGTTCAAAATTGGGAAGGGCGTACGCCAACGATGCATCCTATCTCCATACCTTTTCAACCTATATGCAGAACAGATTATCCGGGAGGCTGGGCTCTATGAGGAGAAATGTGGGGTCAAGATTGGTGGACGATTTATCAACAACCTGCGTTATGCGGATGACACAAACCTGCTTGCTGAAACTGAAGAGGACCTGAAGCACCTGCTGCAGAGTGTCAAGGACTGCAGCCTACAATATGGATTGAGGCTCAGTGTCAAGAAGACAAAGATTCTCACCACTGGACCAATTGGCAGCATCAGGATGGATGGTGAAGAGATTGAGATTGTACACAGCTTTAGTTTGCTTGGCTCTGTAGTCAACACTATTGGCACCAGCAGCCAGGAAATTAAAAGGCGCATTGCCATGGGAAAGTCTGCTGTTAGGGACCTCTCCAAAGTACTGAAGAGCAGTGGTGTCTCTCTGGAGACTAAGGTGCGTCTGATACAGGCTATGGTCTTCTCAATCACTTGTTATGCATCAGAGAGTTGGACAATGACCAAGGAGGATAGAAGGAGAATTGATGCCTTTGAGCTGTGGTGCTGGAGAAGAGTATTGAGAATACCATGGACTGCTAGGAAAACAAACAGATTTGTCCTGGAAAGGGGTAAACCAGGTGGCTCCTTGGAGACAAGGGTTCTGAGGCTCCGTCTAACATACTTTGGACATGTTGTGAGGAGAGACCGGTCCTTGGAGAGGGACATCATGCTTGGGAGGGTGGAGGGACAGCGCAGGAGAGGAAGGCCCTCGATGAGGTCGATTGATTCAGTGACTGGGGTAATCAGGATGGGAGTGTCAGAGACAGTGCGATTGGCACAGGACAGAGCGGAGTTTAGGGCTGTTGTACATAGGGTCGCTCTGAGTCGCAAGCGACTCGACGGCACATAACAACAACAACAACAACATGCTGTTGTAAACAGTGCTGTAATAAACTTGAGGGTGAGTTTATCAGTTTGTGTTGTAGCTCTTCTTTGTCTGAGATATATACTGAGTAGGGGGATTCCCAGATCCAATGGTATTTCTATTTCCAACTTCCTAAAGTAGAGCCTTTTTCATAACACAGTTTATCAGTTAGTAGAGTTGGTACCCAGAGACTAAGAAATTGCTTTGCTGCCTGCCCACCTGCTTTAAGACTGTTTCATATAGTATTTGGGGACAGAAATAAAGAATAGGGACTAGAGAAGTTCTTTTGAAGGGAGAGAAACATGTTTTGAGTTTCATACATTGTTCTTTGTTTCTTTTTTTTCTGCTGTGCTAATAATGGTTTTTGTAAAGTGATAAGCTGCTTTAAAATATAATAATGAAAATCCTGATAATTAAAATGCTCCACTATTAAAATATAGTTTAAAAATTTCTAAAGAGCTCCTACATGCTGTGTCAATTTTATGGCTGTTGAAGAATTGCTTTTAATATAACTAATAAAAAATGTGGGTTTAAGTGAAGTTATTATACTTAAAGGAAGAGCAGATTGTGATTTGTTTGGTTTATTTGTTTTCTGAGTCATCAAAAATTTTATGTACTTAAAGTGAGCAGAAAATAAAAAATGAATAGTATATGATGCCACCTTCAATGTTGTTTTGAGAATAAAAGCAAACCTTTCATTAACAACTTCGAAAATTTTAAAGCTTTTTGTTAAATAAGGTGAATTTATGTTCAAAATGATTTTGTCTTTTTTTCTGATGCCTGATTAAAGTGACAGTGTAGGAATAAAAATGATGTACACCCACAAAGTAAAGAGAAACAGAAAGAAAAGAACATAGATTTCAATAGATCGTGAGCTAAAATACTCAGAGAAGTATGGTGATGCACATGAAGCTTGGAGGAAGCTGCGATTAGGGGTAAACACAAGGTCATTTGGGTGACAAATGAGGCACTGTTCACTGTAGAAACCCAAGACAGTTGAGTTTTGTTTTGGGTTTTTTTTTTCTTTTCTTTTTTTCTTGAATCAATGAACTATAGTATCATTATTTTTTTAAATTTTGTCTTTTAAAATTAATTTTAATGAATGTTTACAGAGATTTTGGATTGCCATACATTCATTGTTGTATTTTTCTCCCTGCCCATCCCTCTGCCCAGTTCTCTCTTCTCTTTGAAAAGTAAAAGAAAAATTATTTCATTGGTATAGAAATCTCTCTCCCAGCCCCTGCCCCGAGTACCCTCCACTATGCAACCTTCTTTCTGGACTCTTGTCATAACCATAATACCCAATCATATATCACTTTCAAACAGTTCTGTCCTTCATCTGTTTCAATGTAGTATATATAATGAGTTTTGAGACATAAGTTAACAAGGAGGGCAAGCTGAGCAAAGGGGCTAGACACAGAATGATGAACTCAGACCTCTGAACCATCAGCAACGGTGAGGAAGGCAGAGGGTAGTAGAGTGAGGTTCAAATCTGCTGTTCATAGGGTTGCTATCAGTTGCAGTTGACTTGTTATGCAGCACATAACAACAACAATGATATATAACTATATGGAGAGAGAGATGAGACGTAGACATGTATGATTAAGAAAATGGTTTGGAAAACAACTATGAGATATTATCTCACCCCAGTAAGAATAGCAAAATTTAACAGAACAGCAAACAACAAGTGCTGGTGAGGTTGTGGAGAAACTGAAACTGTTATTCACTGTTGGTGGGAGTGTAAAATGGAAGGCATTATGGCGCTTTCTCAAAAATTTGCAAATAGAAATACCATTTGACCCAGCAATTCCATTACTGGGAATATACTCTAAAGAAACCATACCTGCCACCCAAGCAGATATATGCACACCTATGTTTATTGCACCTTTGTCCACAATAGCAGAGTTGGAAACAACCTAAGTGCCCATCAACAAACGAATGGATAGAGAAGCTGTGGTATATTTACACAATGGAATGTTATGCTGCATTGAAAACCAAGGAACTCATGAAATAGTAATATACAATGAGTGACCCTGGAGGACGTTATGCTGAGTGAAATATCACAATCACAAAAAGACAAATACTGCATTGTGCCACTGTTGTAAAATGGGACTGATATTGGTGTTGGGGGGAGACTGAGAAAGATGGGATAAATTATGTATACTGCTTTGAAACAGATGAGAGAGAGAACTGTTTAAAAGGGATATATGATTAGGTATTATTGTCATGTACATGGATTGCCATGAAAACAGATTCATTCTGGAGAGGGTTAAACCAGGCTGCTCCTTGGAGGCAAGGATTCTGGGGCTTCGTCTGACATACTTTGGACATGTTATAAGGAGGAACAAGTCCTTGGAGAGGGACATCATATTTGGGCAGGTGGAGAGACAGCGCAAGAGGGGAAGACCCTCTTATGAAGGGATTGATTCAGTGACTGGGGTAATCAGGATGTGTCAGAGGGGTGTGTCAGAGACAGTGCAATTGGCACAGGATAGAGCAGGTTTTAGGGCTGTTGTACATAGGGTTGCTATGAGTCGCAAGCGACTGGACAGTACATAACAACAACAACTATTATTGTCATGACAGGAGTCCAGAATGAAGGCTGTATAGTGGAGTGGAGTTGGGTGGAGGGATTGTATAACAATGGAAGAATTTTACTTTTTTAAAGAAAAGAGTGAACTTGGGAGGAGGGGTGGGCAGGGAGAAAAGTACAACAATGAATGAAAGGAAAAAAAAATAGTTTATAGTTTTGGAATCTGGCAAGTCCCAAATCTGTGGGTCAGGCATGAGGCTAGAAGTTTTTTCTCATTCATGTGGTATATGTTAGTGAACCCCAAATCCTTAAGTCTGGCAGAAGGTGACTAGCTCAAAGTATTGTGGG